ACTTATCTTGGGGACGAAGGGTGTTAGGTGGTACTAAGTGTTTGATAATGGGTTTGTGGTACAATCAGTGATTATTGAAAATCTTGTTTTGAGGATTCGTGACTTGGGTACAAGGTGATCTGTTTTATTATTTTGGCGACTCATGATTATGTGGTCATTAGGAGATTCATTGTTTAATCATCTTGAAGTTGTTAAGTGTAATGATTGTCGAATGGTGATTGACATAGATGTGTGGATTTGAGTTTGAGCTTGATTGTGTGATGGAAGGGGTTCCTTGTTTGAAATTTTGTGTGTCCTTTAAAGGGATGAGTTGAGATAGGATGTTGTTATGTTCAGGGGTCTTGTGGCCATTTTTCTTTCGAGCTCCGAAGTCTTGTGTAGCAGCGTAGAGGGGATCAAATGTTGGTTCTAAGTCAAGTGTAGACTCCAGCGGGTTTTATGTATGATGTTGTGAGTGATGAGTACCTTTATAGGGTGGGGAACATTAGGTTTTCTGATAACAGTGTGTGATTGTCTATTGGCATCGGGTGTTAAAGGCAACAAGGATGTTGAATTCTTAGCTCTGTGGTTGGTGAGGTATTGCTCAGAAAGGTGTGTGGCTGTGGGTTTCCTTCTTTAAGGAGGTAGATTTCGAGGACGAAATCTTTTAAGGAGGGTAGAATGTAATGTTTCTGAATTTTACCATTTTTCAATTTCTGGAATTTTCTAATTTTTTGAGGGTATTTTCAACTTTTCTCATTTTGCGTGTCGAACACCGTGGGAGTGTGTCGGGTGTGTCCAAGAGTTGATTGGGGCATTTCATTGAATGCAGGACTCTTTGAAATGCAAGGATGGTCATTTTTGCATTTTTCAGTTTTTCGGGCCGGACTGTCCTGTGTGGGACCTGTTACCAAAGTTGTTTTGTACGGGAGTTGTGTCTCGAGTCATTTGCATACCATGCATTATTATTATTGTTGTGCCTAAGTAAATTGTTAGAGTGCTAAATTGTGTAGCTATGATATAATTGGAGCATATATGTATAATTTATGGTGGAAAATAAATCAAAAAGGAAATTAATTTTGGTGGTGGGACCCATCACCACTTTTAATGGCCATAAGACCACATTTAAGACTTCATTTCATCTTTCTTTCCCGCAAGTCTCTCTCTCTCATTCTCTTTCTAGATTTTTCTTTTTCTTTTGGTTTCAAATTTTCAAACCTTGATTTCTCCTCAATCATTTGGAAATTTTGGGTGCCGGTTGTGACAAAACGGAGAGCTCGTCGAGATCTTCGCATTGATTGGAGCAATTTCACTTTTGGTGCTTCTTGGAATTTCGAAATTAGAGCTTGGATTTGGGCAAATTGGGGGTTTTACTTCATTTTGAGGTAAGGGTTTCTAATCCATAACCTCTTGGATTTTTGTGAGTCAATTCCTTATAATTTGTATTATTAGATGATTAATTTGTGTATACTTTGTAAACGTTGCTATGTGTTGTATATGAGATGCATTTACACACTAAGTTGATATGTGATGAAGAACTATGTTTAAATTGAGATGTCTTCATGCCTATTGTGTTATAAGTGATGAATTTTGTGATTAGAAAGCATGTGGTATATTTATAGATTTTTTTTTTTTTTTTGAATTGAAACATGTAATTATGTGAACTAATTAATGTTGTATGAGAAAGCATGTTTAAGTGGTGAGTTTCTATACCCATTATGTTGGATTTGCTAGATTTTCAATTTAGAGACATGTTGGTTATTAGTAGAAATTTCCTACAAAGTTTGCTATATTGTAAACACACGACTTGTGTGTTATGTGATTCCCTTTTATGATATTGTTGAAAAGTATGATGCATTCATGCACAACATATGGTAAGGAAAAAGGGAAAACATTGTTTTGAAAGCAAATGAAATGATTTTGGGAAAATGTTTTGAAAAGTGGTTGCGAAAACCGGATGCCTAGGATGCGCCTAGTGGTCTGTGGTGTTAGTGTAGTCTAGAGGGGAATATGGTTGAGCTAACTAGGCCAGATGCAATGCCTAGGAGGTGTTTTATGGTCGTGGATAGTTAGCCAATCTTTTTCTCGTGACGCCATGGAGGTGCCTTGGGTCGGATTACACCAACGGTTTTGAAGTTGAAACGGCAATGTTTCGGAAATGGGGAGTGACATATGCATGGCATTGCACTTCATTGGCATACATGGTGTAATTGTGACTTGGATGACAATTGTGTTTATAATGGATGTTATGGTTATGGTTTATATCGCCGGAGTTGTTGATCCCATTCTCTTGCTTTTCTATTCTATACGTGGATTCACGGGGCCAGAAGAGGTGTGTCTTAGGCACCACCTACTAAGCAAATTAGCTCACCCCCTTTATATTTAACATTTTCAGGTTCAGGAAATAAAGTGGCGGACGATAACCCACCACAGCCTTACCTTGGATTAGAAGAGTGTCTCATTTGTTATCTTTTATATTTAGGTCTTATTTTGTAAAGTGTTAGACCCAAAATGTATCATTTTGCAGCATGTGAAGTATTTAGATTCATTTTGTATATAGTCATTGGGGAAATGTAATTAAGTTTAATTACACTAAATCCTTTGGTGTATTTTACGTGTGGTAAATTATGTTATCAATGTTGTCATTGTATTAGGTATTGAAATGTATTTAAATATGTACGTGAGTGTAGTGGTGTGGGTGGTTGGTTATCAAATGGTGTATCATGGTTTTCTTTGGACAGTGAGCAATTAAGTGTGGATAACCCAAAACCAGTCGACGTGAAACCCCATACGTCGACCGAATGACCTGAACCAGTCGACTTGAATTTCCCACACGTCGACTGGTATCTCGACAGTGAGTTTTTTTTACTGTACACGTCTCTAACCAGTCGACGTGTAGCCTCCCACACGTCGACCGGTATCTTGACAGTGAACAATGTCACTGTGCATGACTCAAATCAGTCAACGTGAAATGTACATACGTCAACCGATTCATGTGTAGTAAACATTTGTGACTTATTTTCCCATTTTTCCCTTAACCAACCACTTAAGTGTAATGTTACACATTATAATAATTATATTTTAACCATAGAAAAGACTATATTGCCTCGGATTTTATCTAATTTATTATGTGATACGAGTAAATGACTATTATGACCTTTGAGTCTCAAACTATTTGAGTTGTGGCAAATTACCATCTTGTCCTTTTTGGACTTTAATATTTAAATTTAACGTGAAATGACCGTATTATCCTTGGATGATTTTGGGTCAGGCAAGGACCCGTTTAATGATTCGGATACAGTGGATTTGGGTCGTTATAACCATTTTGACATACTTTGTAGCTATAATCTCATTTAATTATTATTTATTTATTTATTAATTATTATTATTAGTTTTTTTTTATAAAAAAAAACCCCTAGGATTACACGTATATTATGTATTGACATAGGAAATGACAATAGTGCCCTTAGTTGATCTCGGGTTCTTCGGACCCTTGGGTATGGGTCGTTACTACTTTGAAGCTTAAAATAGCTGCAAATAACATTGATGGTTTCTTAGTTTCGCAATCCAAACAAATTATTTCATAATTCCGACCAGTTTCTTTCATCTAACAGTAACAGCCTTATTAATGTTGAAATTGTTTCTCTACTAATACAAATAATATTTTTGGTAACTCAAATGTTGACATGCATGTATAATATTTCAACTTTTTGTGATCTTAATTATAAGAGTACTAAATGAAAATAAGAGTTGTTTGATCGGTGCGGATAGGCCCTTTTATTCTGTCTAATTCTTCTATTTATAATCAGTGGTAGTTCCATCTATTGTTGAGATGCTTCTAAGTGGAACGTCCGATTTGTACCAAGTGGAATGTCTAATTTTTGCCATGTGTCTCATGTCTCCCTTAGTCTTCTTATAGTGTTGACACGTGTAAGAACATGATGTCTCATGAATTGCAGCTTTGAAGGAGTCGTTTTGGTAGTTCAATTCCAATTGAAGGCTTCTAGCCACATTCTGAAACTGCTAAATGGAATAAACCACAATCTACTAACGGTCTATAACTGCCTCTAACTTACAAGTAACTGCTTCCTTCTCTGTCTGTCACGTGTCCACTTGGAAAGTCACACATCTTTCCAACTGTGAGTAACTGCTTCCCTCTTTGGCTGACACGTGTCCCATTCGGGAGCAACTTTCCAACCAGAGAAAACTGACTCATTCTCTGCCTGCCATGCGTCCCTATGCAGTTACTTGTTCCAAATGGTTTTCTCTGATGAAGCCACATGTCACTTCATGATTGCATCCTTATTTGCATATCACCCTTCCACTGGAAAGGACCACCCTTTCATCGAAATTCGCCATGACAACCTTTCCAAACGAAAAATGGCCAATAGTTAAGGCATTAACATATAGCATGTGGTAGTAGTATATAAAAATTACAAAGACAAATCATTAAACCATTCTTGTCTTGCAGGGGTGGTTAAGCAAGCTAATGCGGCAAGGCAATTATATATATCTATATATGAGGAGATGGAGAAGAAAATTAAGTGGAAAATGGTTGGTGTCTTCTCAACGTTTCATTCATAGTCATATTGATGGTAAAGTGAACAAGTAGTAGTCCTTTGAGTGAAATTAAAATGGGCCCTCCCTCGTACCAAACTCAATAGAGAAATAAATATATATATATATATATATATATATATATATATATATATATATATATATTTTGAGTTTTCTTGGAACAGGTCAGCATGGAGGTCTTCTTTAGCTAGCTTACGTAACAAGACAAATCAAATACTCCATGTTGGATCATCACCTTACCTTTGCTTACCCTCCAAAGCACATCAACCAAGACCACTTAATTGTAGTCCAAAAGTAGACAACTCCAAATCCATCACTTTAATTTCCCACACTAACTAAAACCTTTATTTATTATGCTTCTTAAACAAGAATGTTTGAATGGGGATCTAGCTAGGTACCCCCACAGGACCAGCCCCAATCATATATGCTACCTTGCTAACCCTCTCTTGTTTCTATACATAAACAACATATATAAGCCCACGTACAGGTTCTGTGTTTGCCACTAGACTTGTGTTGCGTTGACAAGAATTAATATTCAGCAACACCTACTAACAACCAAGATTTGCAAATTCTAACTTGATTTCACCACCTGTCAGCCAAATTATCACACAGACAATGATTTCTTCTGCTCCTGCATCACCCAAAATACTCATCGGCATCTCAATGGACCTAGAACACAGCAAACAGCTTCTCTCATGGGCCACAATTCTAGCTCATCCTAGTCACACTCTAGTTGCCTTACATGTTCTTGGTCAGTATATCTATCTATATATATATATGCTCATGGTCATGCTCATGCTCTGTTTTTTGAACTTTATTTTGATTATTTCTTACTACTAATGCATTCATTAACTAGTTTCTCAATTTGACTAAATATCAATTGGAACACAAATATTGTTTATCCACAATAATTTACAACACAAAAGTTATTTCCATGAAATGGTTACTCAATTATGCTAGTGTGAGGAACAGGAAACATCTTCCTTCATGGTTTTATATGTCTCATGAGTATTGAGTAATTGTCGTATACATAAAGTATGTTTTACAATGTTAGATAATTAAACATGTGGCAGAAGAGACCAAGAAGCATTGTAACCAGAAAAAACAGGAGATCAAGAAGCGTGAATCAATTGAACAAATTCGTCGTGCAAAAGCCTTTGTTATATCTGTAATGGGAGAATTTTCCAACATCTGCCAGTCTAAGCAGGTACAACAAATATTTCAGAAACTGATCAATTCCCATAATAATTTATGTTGAAATGCTGGTAAAAGTTCAAAATGTGTGTTTGTAAACTTTTCTGCTATTTTAATTCAGGTAAATTTGGAGGCTAGAGTTGGGTTTAACTCTAGCGTCGGAAAAGGTCTAATTGAGGAAGCAAAGGGCATTTCAGCACAACTTCTTCTCATTGGCGGCTCAAGAAACCGGTCAAATAGGTAAGGAACCTGCTTGGTAATCATAACTACTACTACTAAATAAATATTACCTCTCTGTCATAATGGAAAATGCTCATGTCTTGCTACTCCAACTTCCAGCCAAATCATAAGGTATTGTTTTGAGCATGCCCCACAAGCCTGTTCAGTGGTCTTGGTTGGGAAATGTGGCCAGCCACAAAAGGATTTGCTTTCCAGTTCTGTACACAATGAAGAAGGTTAGTTTCTTTCAGAAACTACTTCCTATTTCTTCTATTATATATAATATATATAGACTATTTATTTATTTCTTTGTTTCGTAGCAGAATTTTGTCAATCAAGTTCAAGGTGGATAAACAAAAATAGTTATACGGCAAAGTCTGTCTCCTTATTGGAAAAGCCTCGTGTTTCAGAGACAGAGACAGAGAATGAAAAGCCTTCACCAAAGACTGTGTTAGATGCTTGTGAAGGAGAATCAAATAGCACAGACGACTATAGCTCTAGCTTTGGGGATTCAATCATCACGGAATCCCCTCCTCTAGTTCCCAAGTTTGAAAGCCAATCCTATGTTGCAAAGCCACCATCTCCTTTCAAGCGTATTTCCTCTTTCCTCCGCTCATCTTTTGATTTAAATGGAAGAAAAAGAAATGAAGTTATTTCCGAAAAGGAGAAGCACCAACCTTTATTAAGGTGCTTTAGCTACCAAGAGATTGCAAATTCCACAAATGACTTCCACCAAGGTATTAATTAAACAAATACCATTTCTGTAAGTTGCCGACTTTTTCCTTTTTGGATTTCTTTTTTAAGGCTTAGAAAACAATTGCTAAACTTGTGTGTAAATGGTAGCAATGTGCTTTGTTGAACTTGTCAATGTTGCAAACAGAAAATTTGAACAGTGACACAATTGCGTTGAGTGCAGATAATATAGTAGGACGAGGAGGGTACTCAGAGGTATATAGAGGTGATCTTGATGATGGACATACTATAGCGGTGAAGAGGTTAGCCAAGGATAACACTGATCAAAACAAGGAGAAGGAGTTTCTTATGGAATTGGGCATAATAGGACATGTAGACCATCCTAATACCGCAAGCTTAGTTGGTTATTGCATCGAAAATGGACTCCATCTGATCTTCGATCTCTCTCCAAATGGAACTTTAGCATCTGCATTGCATGGTAAGTGGAAATTCTGGAATTAATTGGGACAACATCATGTATGAGATTGAATTAGAAAAAACAATGCTTCATAATTCATAAAGAAAGTAAAGCATATGTTCCTTATTTAATTCTTCAAAATTATTAGAGTATTCTGCAAATGATTGATGAACTTCATAGAAAATTTGTTATCAGCAATAATTGCAATTATTGACTTACATGCATAAGAGTGTATTAGCCTGATTACAGAAAACATGTGATAATACCAACAATTTGCACAATTTTGTGTCTCTCAGGCAAAATATGCAAGGCACTTGAGTGGCCAGTCAGATATAAGATTGCCCTCGGGGTTGCAAGGGGTTTGCATTATCTTCATAAATGTTGCAAACACCGAATAATACATCGTGACATAAAAGCATCTAATGTGCTACTTGGGCCAGATTATGAACCACAGGTGAATAAACAAAGTGAATTTCAGTATCTTTTATTTTTTATTTTCGTAAAACACTATCTGGTGTACTTCTGTTCACTTGGGCTTACATCTCTCCACAGATTTCAGACTTCGGTCTTGCAAAATGGCTTCCAAATAAATGGACTCACCATGCTGTGATTCCAATTGAGGGTACATTTGGATACTTGGCTCCAGAGTATTTCATGCATGGAATTGTAGATGAGAAAACCGATGTTTTTGCATTTGGAGTTCTTCTTTTAGAGATCATAACTGGCAGGAGGCCTGTGGACTCATCAAAGCAAAACCTTCTACTATGGGTAAGGAGATTTCCACCCTTGTAATATAATGGAAGCACATTAAGAAAATATTATATACCTACTAAAAACGGAAAAATGGACATGATCCTGAGGCTTTTGAATAACTTTGCTTGGTTTGCAATCAAAGTGGAACATCACCATGAGTTATGTGCCAAAAGTTCCAAGTAAAAGTCAGTGTCTTGAAGTTGCTTCAAAGCAAATTATAACACTTTGCCCATTATCTTGCATTTCCAGTTACAAAGTGCACTACAATGATATTAATATTGCAGGCAAAGCCCCTTATGGAATCTGGATGCATCAGTGAATTAGCCGATCCAAAGTTGGAAGGTGAATATGACATGGGTCAAATGCATAGATTAGTGGTCACTGCTTCTTATTGTGTAAGACAATCCTCAATATGGCGTCCATCAATGAGTGAGGTAAAAAATAAAACACTCATTTCTTTTCTTTGATACAACATATATACTATTCTCCAACGGGCTAGTGGCCCAGCGGTACCAGACCCATACTTCCCAAAGGAAGGTCTTGGGTTTGAGCTTCAGTGTGCATGAGTGGAATTGCTTTACCTTCCCAAAAAATAAAAAATAAAACTCATATATACCATACTGCAAAGATGACATGTTCAACTCTCTTTCTCTAGGTGCTAGAACTTCTTACATATGGTGATGACTCTGAGATTGCAAAGAGTTGGAGGATGCCAAAATTTACAGCTGAGGAGATGGATGATTACTCTATGGTGTTTGGATATGAGCTTCCATCAGATATTTTACTGGAAGATATGTAGTGTGTATTAGGGCCCAAATATCATTGGTCATTTTTTTTTTTGCCTGTTTAATTAATTTAAGTTTATAATGAGAGGATATAGATACTGTTATCTACCAGAAGGAAAAATACATAGATATGATGGTTAATGTAATGTTTCCAATTTTTGTAATTTTTCAATTTCTGGAATTTTCTAATTTTCGGGGGTATTTTCGTCTTTTTCTCGGGACGTGCCGGCTGTGTTCGAGAGTTGAGTGGGACATTTCCCTGAGTTCAGGACTCTTGGAAATGCACCAGTTGTCATCTTGACTTTTCTCCGTTTTTCGAGTCGGATGGTCCCAGGTGGGACCCGCTACCGGAGTCGGTGTGTACGGGAATTTTATCTTGGGTTCATTGCATACCATACATAATTATTTTGTGCATATTTAATGTGGTTGTGTGCTATTTTGTATAGATATATGCATATATGTGTGTGTAGTGGGAAATAGAAGGAAAAAGAAAAGTCAAAAAGAAAATTTTGTTGTGGAACCCACCATTAGAGATTTTTGTGATTTGGAGACCAACATTGGCCTCATTCTCCTTCTCTCACCCCGCACTAGCTCTCTCTCTCTCTCTCTTTCCTCTTCATTTTTCTTTTCTTTTTGGCTTCAAGCTTCAATCTTCAATTATTTTTTCATCTCTTGAAATTTTTGGGCGCCGTTTGCTGCAAATCAAAGAGCTTGTTGAAACCTACGCTTGGATAGGAGCAATTCACACTTTTAGCCATCCTAAGAATTTAAAAAATTAGGGCTTTGGTTTGGAGTTTTGGGGGTTTTCATCTCCATTGAGGTAGGGGTGTTCTAATGCATGATTTCTTTTACTTTTGTGAATTTTATAACTTGAATTGATGTGTAGCATGTTCAATTAGTATAAATTCTTGTAAAATTTGCTTAAATGATAGGTTTGGACTATATGTGACTAATTGTTAGTTGTTTATAGTGTTGAAACATGCTTACATGAAGTTAAATCCATGTCTTATATGTTTGTTATACAAAGTTAATGTTAAATGAGAATTTTAATTATGTAGTTTAGAAATTTGCTTTACATAGCATGTGTGAGAATTTTATGGTTAAATTGATGAATTTAAGTATGAAGTATTCCATGCATTCATTGGGATAGAAAAAGGGAAAAAAATGTTTTTAAAACAAGTGAAAATTGTTTTGGGAAAGGTTTTCTAAAAGGGTTTGCGAAAACCCGGATGCCTAGGAAGCGCCTAGTGGTCCGTGGTGTTAGTGTAGTCTAGAGGGGAGTTTGGTTGAGCTAATTAGGCCAGATGCGACGCCTTGGAGGTGCCTTGTGGTCGTGGATGGTTATCCAATCCTCCTTTCGTGACGCCTTGGAGGTGCCTTAGGTCGGATTACACTAACGGTTTGAAAGTTGAAACGGAAATGTTTCGGATACGGGAAGCGACATTGCATGACATTGCACTTCATTAGAATATTTGGATACGTGTTTGGGTGACAATTGTTATTTACTTGTCGTTGTAGTTATTGCCATGTACCCTTATGCAATGATCCCGTTTTCTTTTACCTATTCCTTACGTGGATTCAAGGGGTGTCTTAGACACTTCCTACTGAGCGTTTAGTTCACCCCATATATTTTTAACATTTTCAGGTTCGGGAAAAGAAATGGTTGGCCACAATCCACTACAGTCTTAGTTTGTATTAGAAGAATGTATCTTTTGCTACCTTTTGTATTAGGCCCCATTTTGTAAAGTGTTGACCCAAAGTGTATCATTTTGCAGCTTGTGAAGTATTTAGTTTCATTTTGTATATGGTAATTGGGGAATTGTAATTATGTTTATTTACACTAAAGCTTTTAGTGTATTTCGTGTAACGTGTTCTAAATTATGTTAATATTGTTGTTGCTAAGGTATTAGATGTTAAAATGTATTCAAATACGTACGTGGGTGTGGAGTGTAGGGTGGTTGGTTATCAATGTTGGTGTATCTCGAACAGTGGAGATTTCAAGTGTGGATAACCCAGAACCAGTCGACGTAAAATTTCCATACGTCGACCGGTTGACCTGAACCAGTCGACGTGTAGCTTTTCACACGTCGATCGGTATCTTGGCATTAGCCTTTTTATTGTATACGTCCCAAACACGTCGACCGGTATCTTGGCAGTGGGCTTTCTACTGTGCATGTTCCAAACCAATCGACGTGTGATCCCCATACATCGACAGGTTCTGTGTAGTAAACATTTGTGACTTATTTTCCAGTTTCCCATCGCTCACTCACTTAAGTGTACTTGTTACACGTTACGTAACTCAGTATAATGCAATAATTAAATTTTAACCCTAGAAAAAGGTATTGTGATGTGTCCTAATTATTTTTTTTATATTATTTTTTTAGTTATTTATTTATTTTATTTTATTGTATTGTTGCTATAATTTATATAATGACGTGGGGATATGATAGTCTTTTGGTATTGGAATGGCATGGTAGTGATTTAGGAAGGTTGGACGGGCAGTCATTTCCCTTGGTCAACCTTTGACCAAGTATGCATGTGTGCCATCTATACACTTAGGTGGCAGTTTTTCATCTGTTTCTTACAGACCCATTTCAGCAGCAACTTCCACATTTTCATTCCCTTTCTTTTTTCTTCCTTATTTTCCTTTCTTATTCCACCATTTAAGCTTTCTAAAAGCTTCTGTTCGAGCCTCTTCTGGTGGGTTTTTGGCTGTGGTATAGGAAATGAAGTTTTTCTCTTAGTGAAAGCCATTTATTAAGCTCAAGGACAGCACCATTTAGCCACCTTTGAGTTTTGAATTTGTGGCTGTTTGAAGGTTTTTGCTTAAATTAAGGTAGGGGTTTCTCTAACTCTCACATCCTTTGCCTCCTTGTGAAGTAATCCCTCTATTTTGAACCAATGAATGACAGGAATTGAACTTTCCTCGTGAGCATGCTATGTATTAAAACAATCTGAAATTTTTAGTTACATTACAACAATGTATTATGTGCTTTTCATTTATGAAATTGAACTCCTTTACTTGTTGATTGTATTGATGTGCCCATGATTGAAACTGTAAGACTTATAGTAGTTATGTTGTAGTGGCTACATGCTGAAAATTGTATGTTTAATTTACCTAAATTAGTGGGTTGTTTTATTGTAAGTTTGATGCTGATTTTATAGTTTCAAAAGTGAAATTTGTAACTTCAATAATCATGTGAGATGTGTATTTAGAAACTGAATATTCAACTCATCCAATGTTGGTTATGTCTTGGGTGTTCACACTAAAATTTATTTATACCTAATAGCTTATATACAACTGCATGACTATTCTTGAAATTACTTTATGCTTTCTATGCCCAATGTATTTTGTATGATTGCGTGGAGTAAATGACAACATCTCTAAGTAGATTTCATGAATGTTGTGGTCTTATGTTATTGTGAAACATGCTGCCCAACTTGTTGTTAATGTAATGTCTGTGTCTTATATTTATGTTAAAAAAAAAAATTATTTAGCTGTGGAACCCACTTTATTTTATGTTATCATGTGCCAAATGGGATTACAAACCCATTTTTTCTGTTCCTCTTCTCTCTCCCCACTGCCTTTCTTCCTTTCTGTATTTCTTTTTTTCTTTTTCTTTTGCAACTTCCACTCTTGATTTCTTCCTCAATTCTTGGCGGATTAAGGTGCCATTTGAGGCAAAACGAAGCTCACTACAAGCTCTACGCATCCATACGAATAATTCCAGATTTGGTGCCCTCATTGGAGTTCGAAATTCAAGACCCATTTTAAGGGTTTTGTGCAAATTTGAGGTAGGGGCTCTTAATCCACAAGTTTTTTGCTCCTATGTGAATTACATCTTCTAATTTGATGCTAGACATGCTTACTTATGCTAGTTGTAGTTTAAAGAAATTATAGCATGTGTATGTGGTTATGTGAGAACTTGTTTTAAATGTTTTATGTGAAAATTCTTGCTTATGTGATGATTTATATATGTTCGTTGTGCTAGATGCATTGTTGTACAAGAGCATGTTAAAATCCCTTGAGAAATTCTTGCGAAATTATGTCTTGCTTACTTAAATAGAGTTGAATGTGAAATGATGATTAAATTCATGGTATTGATGCACTCACGCACTTACATTGGGCATGAAACGAGAAAAATGAGTTTGAAATAAAAAATGGGATTTTGGGAAAAATGATTTGATGAAACGGTTTTGAAAAATCCGATCGCCGCGGGGGTACCAAATCGCCGGAGTGTTAATATAGCCTAGAGAGGACTAGGGAGTCGCCCTAGTGTGGTTGAGCTAGCTGGCCCCATAATGACGTCGCGGGGGTACCAAGGGTCAGGGACACTAGCCAATCCTCCTCTCGTATCGCTGCGGGGTCACCAAAGGGCAGGTTATATTAACAGTTTGAAAGTGATGTTTGAGAACAGAAAATGGGGAGTGACATTGGCATGCATTTGTATTTCATGTCATCGTATGGGTTGTATTTGAATTTGGTTGGAATGTTGTATTATTTCCCGATATTGTATGATTCCTACTTCTTATTGACCTATTCTTTGTATGGATTCATAGGGACACAAGAAAAATGTCTTAAGTGTCACCTACTGAGCGTATAGCTCACCCCATCATATTCTAATTTTTTTTCAAGAAACGAGAAAGAAGTGGCGGATGACTTTCCACCACATGCCTAATTTGGTTTAGAAGATTTCTTTTTGCTATTTTTGTATTACGTCCCATATTTTATGGTAAAATCTTAGTTTATTATATTTGGTATAGAGATTTGTGAACTCTTGTTATTGTAACTATATTTTGGGACTGTAAATATGATATTTGGATGATATAGTATGTGGTTGTTCCACCATGGAGTGTATTATATGATATTTGTGTTGGGACAGGTTTAAAATTCTTTTAAACAGGTTGTGGTAGGCCCATTTTTTAACGAGGTCATGCCGAATTTTTTTTTCAAATTTTGGCATCAGCTAGGGTCGTTACAAATTTGGTATCAGAGCGATGGTTCGAATACCATTAGGACGACGGGTAAAGGTTTACCTAGGATTGTTTGGGAAGTCAATTGCATTGTTATTTCCTTATTTGTAAAAGTGTTTTGCTATGTGAAAAAACATGCTTAACTGCTTACGTGCTTATGTGCTTATATGTTTATATTAATGTGTTCATTGCATAGTATTACATGCTAAATGTTCGTAAAGTGTCTTTTTGTGTTGGTTTGTTCATGGTTGGACCTTAGTGTTATCATTATTGAATTGTTTTCTTTGTTTTATAGAACGATGTCACATTGTGAGGAAACCAGGGAAGTTGGCCCTAGACCGACTAGGGGTGATGTTAGCGAGAGCTCCAGCTCCAATCCGGAAGAGCTAAATGATGAGGACACACTTCTTAGGGACTTGATTCCCCCGAGAGTTGTTCCACAAGGAGGGATAATGTTGAAGCACTCGTAGAAGTGGGTGAAGGTTCTGTGGCACTGGAGTTGAATCGTTTGTTGCAAAATGCCGTGAGGGCAACGATTGCTGTTCAGTCGCAGTCGGCACCATAACTTACAGTTCAAGTTGAGGAGACGCCAGCTCAGAAGCTTCTCAAGATTATTAAGGGGTTTTCTCAGCTGATGCCGGTTATGTTTGAGGGCGGTGCAGATCCAATGATAGCAGATGACTACATGGAGCAAGTTGAAACTCAATTGACTTCTATAGATGTGATGGAGGATCATTTGAAGATCATCCTAGCTACTTATAAGTTTGCTAAGGATGCCAAACTATGGTGAAAGTCGGTTACGAGCCGGTACTAGGTGGAGGAGATGAGTTGGGACAAGTTCAAGGAATTGTTTTATGAAAAGTACTTTCTGCTTTCCAAAAGATGGGAGTTACAAGACCAGTTTCATAACCTTATCCAAGAGAGCATGTCAGTAGCGGAATATGAAAACAAGTTCACTTCACTTTCTCGCTTTGCTCCAGAAATGGTAAGAGATGAAGTTAACAAGACTC